TATGTTTATATTTTTGGTTGGATACAATGCATATGTCGTCCTCAAAGCTCCACAATAACCTGGGATCAGCATTAAGCGTTGTCAGAGCTATACATTTGTCAAGCATCCATAAATATGTCGGCTGCTAATTGGTTCGGTAAGATATTGATGAGATGATTGCCAGACAGGCAGGCAGGCAGGTCATATGTTCGGTTTGCTTTTGAATACTTTATTTTGAAATGTGAATACAGTGGAGGTTAGACAGATAGTTATTTTTTTTCAACTGGAGCTGTAATCCTATTTGTTAGTTTAGGGTGAATGTCCACCTCATTCGTGACTGTCTGCAGTGTTGTATTACTGTATCATTACTGTTTTTATCGTTATTATTATTATTATTTTCGTTACTATTATTATTATTGTTGTTGTTATTCTTCTCATTATTATTACCGCTACTGTCGTTATTATTATTGTTACTCTTTCCCTTACCATAATGACATAATCAATACGCAGGCTTGGTACATGATGGGCACCAAGAGATGTGCTGCACAAAATGTTATAGTTTTATTGTGACGGGTAGGATACTACTCAGAGGTCCACACCGAGGCAGGCGGTTGACTTAAAGGGCCATCTCCGCTTGTCCGAGCCCTTGACTTGAAGTCTCATTCTCAACAAGACAATGGGACAGCCGGAGGAGCTGCATTCCCAGTGTTTCCGTTGGCCAAGTTCACTCGGTCAGTTCGGCTTCTGGAGGTCATGTACACCATAGGTTTGGTGGAATCAGGATTTCCCAGCTCTGCGGAGCATTTTAGGTTGATTTTCGCGAATACGTTTGGAAGTTTAAAGGTTGTAATTCTTCGTTTCAATTTTGTTGAACACTCCCACTTGTCTGGCTAGTGTAGGAATGCATGACCACAGAAGATGATTTCTTCTTGACAGTAATACTGAAGTCTTCTCATGCTCAGTCTTAGTAGGAGATGGTTTATTTGGACAGTGCTGTATTAGTCGAAATATTAGGGTGCATACTTGTTAACTCGAAATGAATCAATTTGATTGCGCTCTAGCCTTGGTTTGACTGCGAATTTACTTGAGAATTAGGCTTGTAGAGGTTCCCTGGCATCTGAGTGTTTCCTCTGTTTAAAATTTCCTCAATCATATGACAAGAAATTTTGAATTCCAAGTCAATAAAAATGAACAGCCGATCACGAGACACAATTATATCATTCATGGGGAATTTAAATGAGTTCAGTTTATACTAAAACCTGCGCTGTAGACCTTGTCTAGAAGGCGGACAACGAAAGCTCCGTAATTAAATCAACCACGCAGCTCAGAGAAGACAACTAATGCAATATCATCCACCTGAGCTACAAATCGTTTGCATTATATGTGAATTAGTTAGCCTTGCATCTAACCGACGTTAAGGGAGGCATAATATTCATGTGAAATATTTCGATGTTTCCTATGTCGGCGGATTCGTAAAGTCGACTGAGTGGCTGTATTGGGGTATTTTAATAGTAGTAGTAGTAGTAGTAGAGAGAAGATGATTCCACTGGGCGTGTTGGGTCAGCTTTGGAGTTTTTGATCCTGCAGGTTTCTTAATCTCCTTATATAGACCTGTTTAAATATGTCCATTGACATACTTAATTGATATTTATCTCATAACTGCTGTCGGCTTAGTCTTGTTTGATTTGACAGTTACTATGTTCTAATCGTTGATCAAATGTTTTCAGGTGATATTTACTAGCTGTGATAATCAATAGTTTTTGTTTGTTTTCTGATGTTTAATTGTAGATGCACTATTGTACGGTGACTTGTTGTTGTGTTTTGCTGAAAATTGTCCAATCTGTTTACGAGTTTGACGACGGATTGATATCAATTAGATAAGCCAACGAAAGCCAGGGAGTAGTGGACAGCTGTTTCATCCTACTTTCGGAATGATCGCTAGTACGCACCCGGTATCAGGGTTCGAACCCAGGACCTTCCGGTTACAAGGCAAGTTGGTTTGCATACCATCGAGTCACTGGGACCCACCCAATTCAATGTCTAGTGCATGAGTTCTAACTTCTACCAGTTCGTCATTTAGCGTGACCACCAACCAATGTCATCGGTGGGACATCCATGCTCACACTTGATTGGATGAACCTGACTGGTGACGACATCTATCTATTGCACTTATTGCTTATTGTACACTGGGAATGACTTCTTCAGGTTGTAATCCATCAGTTAGTTAGTTAGTCAGTCAGTCAGTCGGTAATCAACCTCTCTCTCTCTCTCTCTTCATCCATCTATATTTAATTTTTAGAGATGTGACCTTGTCCCACCCAAATGTGTAGTTATGCGTCAATGTATGCAGTGCAATTGCTGATTTTCTTCTAGATTATTTGTCTTCACAGGGTCAGTCGTTTTACATTTGGCTAGATTCTTATGTTCTGATTATCTGACTACCCCCCATCCATTCTAGTGGTTTGACCTTTGTAGTTGACCTAACTGACAGTCATTGCAAGGTATTTCGTATATTGTGTCATTCTGTTTTGTCTAATTGGGTCAACCTACGGGATCGTTTAACCTTTACTCACATACACCACCAATCATATTCAGAAAACACCAGCTTCATTTGAATATTGTGAATAACTCACTGTTTCGACATCTACTCGCAATGTGCTACACATCATGACAACACACGCATATATGTAGCACTACCAATGAAACTGTGCTCGGAAGGTCATCAGTAAATAATATAGTATAATGACGAAAGAATAAGAAGCCGTAGCTTATCTGAAAGGTGTAATGTAATGTATTTGCGCAACACATTTCGGACATTCTGATCACACACACACACACGAGAACTTGTCACACACATTTATGTAGAAGGTAAGAGTAGGCGTGAATTAATGGAATACAGGTGAAATTTTGTACAGGTGAAGGTCACAGATCCAAAGGTGCTGTGTGTGTGTGTGTGTGTGTGGGCGAGGAGAGGTATGAAGATGACATAAGGATGTAGGGTAAACAGAATTGAGGCAGAGGGTGAAAGAAACTAATAAAAATTGAGTCTTGGTTCTAAATTGCTTTGGGAAGACAGGTTCACAGTAATGACAAATAACTTTCCTATAGTTGGTTTGTAAGCATTAGTTTTGTTTTTAGCGAGTTGATCACGTATTGATATCAGGTATAGAGGCAGGCGTTTCATCCTAGTTTGGGAATGATCGGTAGTACGCACTCATTGAAGTGATTCTCTTACTGGTATCAATCCGTGATCAACTGGTAAAAAACAAAACTAACCCTTGAACAGGTAAGAAATATAAACATCCTATTGGGAGGGAGGTGGTTAGCCCGATAGAGGCTTTTATTTAAGGTGGTGGGTGGTGGGAGTGAGACGATTTCCTTTACATTACTGTCATATATGATGATGAATGTTTTTGTTGTTGGTGTTTAGATATCTTCATCATCTCTGTCCTTTCTATGTTCACCTGAAGTTGTATCGTTGCTGTCTGTTCCCAGACTTGTTGGTTTCGGCTTCTGTACCTTCGAGTGTGTGTTATGTGTGAGACAAGACTCATTTGTGAATTTCAGATATTCTAGGATCCTTGAATCAGTCTAAAATACATCCGTCTTGTTAATGATGAAGGTCTCCAGCGCGATCCCCAGTGGTAGTCTTTAAACCTACAATCTATACCGCCTCTAAGAAAAATGTTTCCATCAAATTGCCATTTAAGGGTGAAATAAACAGTAGGTCGGTCATCCATGGGACGTATAGTGCAGCAGGACGGTTAGTTATTATCGAAAAAGCCTAACCCTAACAAAACGAAGAATATGTAGAGCCGTAATATGACTAGGTAGGGATTAAGACTATGAAAGTTGGAGGGGTTGAAGGAACTTTCTCTGTATACAGAGATAATAAATTCAGTCATAGAAAAGAGAAGGCGTTCAGCAAAGAGTTGCTCTTTTCGGCGATATCATTCTCAAGCTGTACAAACCGCAAATTTATAGTAATTTTTCTTGGCAACAAAAGGAATATTTCCAAAGATGCAATTGTTAATTTTTTTGACAACCAATTACGTAATTTAGAAGGCGTTAATCGGTTAGAAACTAAAATAAAGTTACAAAAGTAGGTTGGGTGACGTAATCTAATTGCTAGGGTTCAATGAAAAATGAATGAGAGTCAAGTTAATAATCTGAGTAGAATTCACTTGAAAATGGATGAGAGTTAAGTTGATAAGCTGAGTAGAATTCACTTAAAAATAAACGAAAATGGAGTTAGCAACAGTCGTCGTGAGGGTAGAGATTTAATAGAAGGTGGGGGTAGAAAATAATGCAATTAAGAAACAGACAAACAAAGAAGAAAGAGGTAAGACAAAATTACGTATTTGGTGTTGAGATAGATCAGGACCATTGTAGATTTAGTGACTGAACAAAGTTCTTTTGTGTGCAGAGTTCAGGATTCAATATGTGAATTGCCATTGCTTCTGCAGTTTGAAGAAGTTTAATTCGTACTCTTTTGGCAAGATTCCCACGTATTGTGTAGATAACTGAGAAGTTGCTTTGTGGGTTTGCTTGGTGTCCGGATTCGATCAAGTGTTCTAGGATAGAGCTGTGGCGGGGGGATCTTCTTTCTCCTTTATAAAACCATGAAGGTAAGTGTTCACTGATTCGTTTGGATAGCAAACACTGGGTACGGCCGATATACCTAGCTCCACATGAGCAGGTGAATTGGTAGATGTACATTGATGAGGCCCCCAGTGGAAGCTTGTCCTTCACGTTCGTGCGAATCATTGGTTTCGTAGAGAAATAAATTCGTCGAAAAAGAGTCTCTTCGCTGCATCACTTGTTCTGATTTTCTATATGTTACAATGGGAATTTTCCATGAATTAAAAAAGACGCAGAAATGTTGGTGTATCATTTGAACATTGTTTTTATTTATTATTATTATTATTATTATTATCGTTACTTTGTTCTTATCTAAAGTTTTTGTAAGACTAGTAGTTTCCATTTAAAATTCCCTTATCTATGTGTATTTTTTGTCTTAGTGTTTTGGTCTATAAACCGCCTGGGTCTCCTGATGGCATAACACTAACAACTGAAGATATTTCGTGCCTTTCACCTGGAGGTCTTTTAAACGACTCAATAATCAACTTTTATTTGAAATATTTGTACTTTGAGAAACTGACAAAGTATCAGAGGCATGTTACTCACCTGTTCAATGTGTTTTTCTATACTCGATTGACATGCGATTATCCATCGTCTACGACAAACAGAGAAGAGTAGGTTTTGTTTTTCAATACACACGGGAAGGGGATTATTATTGCTTGTGGTTTGGTCTCAACTTGAATTCATTTTATATTAGTTATATGTAAATGTGTATATGTATATATCTATAGGCTGATGGTAATATAGTGGAGAAGATTTGTAGCTCAGGAGGGTGATTTTGATCGTGTTCTCTGAGAAGCTGGTTGACTTAATTGTGTTGTTAAGCTTTCGTTGTCCTCCTGTCCTAGACAGACAACACCTTCCTTCACCACAGGTGTTTAGTAATGAAATGAACTTACTTGATATAAATATATATATAGTTGTATCTCCTGGCAACCGTTGTCTGACTTCGTCATTAATTCATATCTTTGATCATTTTTATCGGCTTGGGAGTTGAACTTTCTTGTCGTGTGGTTTATTTTTTTGATTTATTAGTTGGTAAATTTGGTCTAAAGTAAGTAGTGTGTTTATTAATCGCTCGGTGATTATTCATTTGAGTACGAGGTTTCTAGAAGTTCTCTGACTGTAATGTTGTTGTTATCCAAGTGAAACTGGTGTCCGTCCATAGTTATCTGTCTAATGTAGAAATGTAGATGACAAGGAGTTATATCCTGTCCACTGATTTTTGTGTATTACAGATCCCCGTTTTTCCAGTCGAGTGATAGTGAGTATTAAAGTACTTGACTTTGTATCTGTTTATCTCTCGACGAATCGTTTCCGTAGAGAAGTATCGTATAAACCAACCAACCACCCAAACGTTATTCGCTCGTTCACGGCCACGGTTGTATTTTCTCTTTAATAAGACAGTTTCATCTGCAGGTACAGTGATACCTTCGCCTTCGCCCTCGCCCTCGCCCTCACCCCCCTCTCCAAGATGCTGCATCTCTGCAGTGCTGTACTATTGCTGTACTGTTGAAACGATATTACTTTCTGTTTCAGCTTTCCCAGTAATTACACAAAAATACAAAATCTGGGTTAATGACAGATGGTGTCATGGCAAAAAATGTCCCTACGAAATAGTATAATCCATCAGCTTACCTTCCCTCACATTAATTCGTCTCAAGCAAATTCCACAACGTGATGTACATGTCCATCAACCGATCTGCTGAAGCTTTTTGTACGTATGACACTTACACATGAACAAATCCTTTCAGATATGATGGAGAAGATTTGTAGCTCAGGTGGATGATTTTGATGCGGTTGTGTTCTCTGAGCTGGATAGTTAATTTGCGAAGCTGTCATCGTCCTACCAGGCAGGCGACATCTTCAGCACATACTTCAATTTGAAATCCTTTCATCATTCATTTTGCAATGATCATAGAGTGCAACAGACAGTAGGGAGAGAGAGAGAGGGAGTGATAATCTCTAGGATCCCATGTTGTTTTGTTTTCTTATAGTTCTAATATTTATTGTAGTGGGTATATCCTGCAAGTAGGACAGGATAGGAGGATAGTTGAGAAGTATTTTGATGAGTTAATAAGAGTTTGACATCTCATTCTCAAATGTTGAATATCACATCACATCGGAACAAAAGTATGTAATATGAAAGGTGTGCTTCTTCTCATCGAGGAAGCAATTACCACTAATAATCTCCATTGGTTTTCTTCAATAAGAATGACGACTAGAGAGAGACTTGCTCCATCACAGATTAGAAGACGGTGTGACTTTGAATTTTTCTCTATTCGGAAATATTTAGTTCGATTGTTCATGATAAATGTTTTATGATGTATCGTAGGCTGTTAAAAACATGCTTAAGGTTGGGGTAGAGTTGTTCAGGTACGGTGATCGGATTACCAGTAGTAGAATTATTCCCTACAGATTTGAAGGTAACCAATCCGTATTGATATTTATATCAGTGTATGTTTGTTATTGTTCTGAATCGAAATTCATAATTATGATGAAATATATAATGTGTATAGTCGTTTCTTGTTAATCAGGCTTTCAACGCATATTCATCAACTACTCTCCTGGATGTGATTACCATAAAGGTTTAGTCCTGAGAGGCTAATTCTGATGCCTTTGCACGCGTCTCAAACAGAGACAGGGAGAGACAATTTCAAGATGAATTATTTGCAGTGTGTAAGGTCAGTTGTTCGAGAAGCTTTCGCATTGTATAAATGAGTGTAACAGTGCGAAGTGACAACTGTTAATGCAATGTGATGTCAATGTGTAAGAACTGCGGTTGCATATACATAAATAGATATACATACGTATCAGTGAACTGTGAGTACTCTGACATGTTGATTTCACCTTTATTCACAAAGATTATTCTTTCACCTTTGATAAACTCTTTTAACTGGATTGCTGTTAACGAAGTAAGTCTTTGCTTTAGTTGCCTTTTCATCATCGTCATTATCATCATCATCATCATCACCACATAGAAGGGTAACTGTAGTAGTTATGCAGTGTTAGTGATTTGTTGTTGTCTAACTTGACTAAAATGCGCCTGCATTTTCGACAGTATAGTCAACTGATCACTTGGATATATTCCCATACACTGAGTAGGCATACACACAGAAGTCAGATTTATCTGAGTAAACAACAGTAACCTTTATTATTTCCAACAAAAGCTTAAATTATCCTTAACACATCAATATAAAATGTAGTGGATAGGTAGATAAATACTCGAAATTGGGATTGATGATTACATCAATTATGATTTTACGGCTAAGAAACTTACTTGGTCCGTCCTAACACCTCGCCTTTTGAATAGACTTTATGATATCTCCCGCCTAAAACAGTGTGGAATGTTTTCCAGAGTAAGAAGGTCACCACATTGTTCCTTGGTGAGAATTAAACATTTGTAGCAGACATTGAATACTGACTGATGCTTATTGTTCAGAAATCTTACTGAGAATTCGGATGGTTTCAATAAAATCAGTATCACGAAAAAAGTATTACCCATCAACGGAAATTTGAACCACCGATAAATAATCAATATCTGTATAGTGAAAATATTCATATACAAATATGCATATATAAATGTAATAGTAAATAGAATAAATATCACATAAAATTAAGGAAATTCCTACAATAAATTAAGGATGATTATAACCTTGATTGACGGCCAGCACTCACTGGTATGTGTGTGAAAGTGTGTGAATCAGTTTCTTCTGGATACATACGATAGTCTTCTCAATGTGGATTCCAAGACCTCCAGCAGCATATAATAAATAGACGAACTCTCAATGTAAAGTTAATAAGATCAGTTGGTATACGGTAGATGACATCAATCTTGTGTTCTATATCCATGAGGTGATGAGGTAGAATAGAGTTTATGAATGTATTTCGTTTGTCTCTTACTTTACCACACTATGCAGGATGTGGTGATCGGAAATCCTACGATAAACAGGCCTAATTGCACGGCCTATGTAACTGGCTGTAGGACATTATCTCAAAGGATATTCTTTGCTCAATCAATATCTGATTGATGTTTGCATCAATGATGGATGACTTTACGACTAACAAGCATAGTAAGTGCTGCCTAACAGTAAGACTTGTATAAATAATAGTCAAACGCAGGATTTAAATTTGAGGAGAGGAGAGGAGAGGAGAGGAGTAATGATCCTGGATTTCAATGAAGATGTGTGTGTTTGTGAGAAGCACTTATCACTCACTGATTGTGACTGATGTGAATTGATGAATAATGTGAGTATGAAAACTGCTTTACTTTTCTTCCCATCATTGTAACAGGTATATGGGATTTTTATTTTTCTATTGGATTATTCATTTTATGACGGAGTAATGATAATACTGAGTTAGTCATATGAAACTTGACTAGAATTCACCTTCAGGAGAGAGAGAGAGAGAACACGTAAATATAACCGTCAACTGATTGATACCACACTGAGATGGGCAGAACAGTGAGACTGGGGAAAACGACGACGACGACGGGAACAAGAGCAACAACAACAACCATAACAACAAGGGGAACAACCTTTATTAGTCAAAATATACTGTATATGACATTCACAAACCGTCAGAAATTGAAGTCATAAACATAAACATTATGTCACTGGTACATGCATAAATAATGAATGACTTTGCAGCTAACTGAAAAGCTTGTCCGTCCTGATACCTCCTCCTCCTCCCTCTTTTATTCTATCTCGATATCGAAACGACTGGAAAATACTTTGTCGGTTAGTCTGTGTTCATCTGTCCATCTATGATGATGCATCAAGTATTGTGTAGTATGAAATGGTCATAAGCAAGGTGTACTTGAAATAACAGAGTAGAAATACCGAGAATATTGATAAATTAGTTAATAATGAATAACATTTCTGTTGTCATAGATTTCGGGAATTTCGTCGGTAAGTCAGGACAACATGTTTTACAGTAGTATTTACTTTGTTAATGGGGAAGGGAATTTGATAAATTTCTTATTAATATAGGCGCAATAAATTTCTTCTGGAGAAGATGGTGATATAGAGAGCGGTGGGAATGTTTGATATGCTTTGAATTCCTTGTTTGGTTGATTTTCGTTCTTGTCATAGTCGTCTAAACTTCAGTGTGTCTGTGTATCAATCATTGTATTGTAGGGGTTTCTGAGTCCTTTCTGAATAACCATTTATGCAGAAGACGGGAAATAATTTTTGTTTTCCGCAATCTCCGGTGTAGACGTGATATTCGGCTGGCTGTCGATCAAAGCACGTGGGTATAGCACAGCGTCACCAACAGCACTTCCCTACGTCCTCCATTATGAATGGCCATCAGACATTGCCATTGAGAGTGGAAGCCATGAGAAGGAAAGCCAGCTAGCTAGCTATCTTTGATCATATGTGTCTGTGTTCTATCTACATCCTGTGTTAGGTGGGAGGTGTAATAAGGTGACTAACATTGAGGTGAAGCATCGGTCGAGTGCTCCATGAGGAGGGAATACCAATCAACAAGGTTGTGAAGGTAATTCGAATGAGGTGGTCAGGACATGTTGTTACGCATGGCTGTTAAGTCACCTCCCTCCTCGACTGACGGGAAATGTTAGCCACTGACATAGGATGGATCTGGTTAGAAAGGAGCCAGAGCTAGGTCTAGGTGGTCACAGCAAAACATGGCTTTAGCGGGCAAATCAGCGAGGTGTATACTTACTGACTGACTGGTTAGGGTCCTAAGGATGGTAAAAACCAATGAAGCCTGGAGACTATCTTTGATATAGATAGCACAAAGTCCTAGTTGACAATGATCGCACAGATAATGCATTCACTCCTCATGGTTCGTCATGTCGAATGAAACTATTGTTCTTCCATATAACTATTATTCTTCTCCCCTCACACTTGATTTTATTGTCTCTCTCTCTCTCTGTCGCTTTCCCTCTGTGTATCTCTCCTTTGAATGTCTCTTTACTCTCTTCTCTAGGTTCGTGAGTCCTATGAAGGGAGGGAGAGGGAGTGGCAACTGGAACTGCTGCTGCACATCTGTGCAAAGTTCTATATTGAAAGCAGTCGTCGTGGTTTAACTTTGAAGAGATTGTTGATATTGTTCCCACCTTCTGGTAACCGCTGTCTACCTCAATACTGGCGTGGGAACTGCTGGTTGAGTTGTAGAACAGTTACTCGACTGTTAATTTGTAGTAGTATGTGCATGTTCATCTTGTGAATACCTAAGTGAAACATGGAACACCTAAGCATGTCAGCTGCCATGGTTGTATTCACAGGAATCATATGATTGTATTATCATGCAATGCATACAAATAAGTTCTCATTGATAAGTGTCATGAGAATGAATGGTATGTGGTGTTTGGATGTTGCACGTATACCCACCCATGCACCCACCCACTTTCACACGCATACGCACCCCCCCATCTCACATGACATATTTAAAGTGGGTTGAAATACACATTGACGCTAGTGGTTTTCGACATGTGCTCTACACCTTATATATGAATTATAATATTGTGTTGTGTACGTTTCCGATTCAGACTGTTTTTCATAATAAAGTTTTTTTTTCTCTTTCTCTTTCGTCAGAGTAATTCGTGCTCGACACGCTGGTGTCGCTCGGTGGACACGTCGAGATGACGTTTTCAGCAAAGATTTTATCATTATTCCAATTAATGAGAAGTAAGTATAATTCAGACCAGTATTATTGAATACAAGATAAACAACATAGGGGTAGTCGTCTATAGTTAAATTGTTTTTTGAATATTATTTATACTTTAGGAAAACTGTGAGTGTCGTTGCGGTGACCTGTAGACTTTCTACTCTGAATGTGTATCTAACTGAATAACTTACTTAGTAGCCATACTTACTGTAGCCATATGATAATAAATAACTAATGATGTTGGTAGCAGTTACAGGTGGAATAAAATGATGTTACCAGTAGCATACACTGTCAGTCACTCAGTCAGTCAGTCAGTTGGGTGAAGGCCCACCGACAACGGGACAAGTATTTAAGACGACGAAACTTCCAGGCTAAATTAAACTATCATAGCGAAAGCCACCGTGACCTTGAACAAGCAATCAGACAGATTTCTGACTCATGAAGTCGCATGAACTGTTAAAAAATGCATTAGAAAACATTGTAAGCAAAATATTACAGGGTATACTTGTCGTGAGAGAATGTGTTTTGAGAATGTGTTCCAATGACTACAACCCGGTAGGTGACTGTTAATCATAGTGCTCTGCGATCCATTGATATTTCTGACACTGTCGCTCAACCTACCCGTGACTCTGACCGTAATCCAAATCCCCCAATTCTAAGTGTAATCCTAGACCCTATCCTTAATCTTAAAATCCATATCTCTATCTAATAGTATACCGAGAAACTACCTAGGGAATGTGTTGGGAGAATATCAGTTAGAGAACCCCATTGAAACTGGTATCAATCTGTGATCGACTCGTAAAAACAAATCTAATCCTTACAAAGCAACTTTTGAAAAATAAGTATCTACTGTCACCTAATCAAAAAAGTTAGGCATGAGTCTACTTGGAATGATTTTTTCAATAGCATTTCTTAAGTCTGATCAGGTTTTGAAGGTGAACTTTTGCCCTACCCTGACTTCTAGGCTATGATGCGGTAACTTCGCCAATTTCCATACTTTGCTCAGACAGATTTTTCGAAAAATGAGCACTTTGAAACATTCCACCAACAACCTAAACAATCAGGAATTGAGATATGAGATATTGATTAGATGAGAGCGGGGTTGATTGAAGACCGAAATGATGAATAAGCGTGATATGTATATGGTAGTCTTCACGTTCCACTGAGTGGTTATTTGTTGAGTATAATTAGGGTTACACTTGGATGTGTTATCGACTGCTATGAAGATGGCTGGTAGTCTGACTGCAGTTTCACTATGATTATAGCGGTGTGGATTGTGTGTCTCGTTGTGGTAGTGCTTAAGCTTTATTGATTATTATACTCCACCAATATATGTGATTGTATTGGATGGAATTGGAATATGTGACGTTGTGGTCGACCAATTTCACAAAGAAATGTTTCCTAGATGCACGTGGCAACATTTTGCGGCTATCAATGTGTAGGGAGAGGCTGGGGATTATGCTATCGCCTGTAAGAAGCAGTTCAGAAGCTACAAGTCAGAAGTAGAACCACCGTGGTGACAGCAGGAGTGAATCTGCTTTACTGCACCATCTGTCGAAATGTTGAATTGTATTGGTTCTTTTGATAATTTTCTTAATTTTCACTTAGTGGGTAGTTAGTGGCACAGTCGACTTATTCCT